ACGATATGTTACAAGCGAACAATGTATGTCGTGATACGGATTGTCTCATCACCAGGCTAGGCTTGTACGTGTACTACGTGTGCGATTGAAAATTGATGGAAACACAAATTGCAATGGAGAATATAACATACTGTATTAGTCAAAAGAGCATTTGCTTCAATTTTGAAAATAAGTGGAGTTTTATTGTACTCTGGAAGCAAATTATTTATCGAGTAATCATAATATACAAGTTTCGCATCTTTATGCAACAGTATATAAAAAATTATATATTATATACATAGATACAATATATATCAGAATTTTTTTTGATATATTACATTTCCGATATATATGCGATGTCTTCTATGGAAAATTGAAACAAACATTTTCGTTGTACTAATATGATGTGTGCAGAATATATTAAAATATTAATTATTGAATTAATATTTTCGTCCAATTTTTAAGTTAAAGATTGGTGAACGATTAGGTGCGATATGGCAGATGGATTGTAATAAAGATGTGTGCTATCGTATGCTTATACATTAAGTAAAACTGTATAAAAGTCCTTTAATATTTTGCAAATAACTACAAAAATTTTTAGTTATTAATGAAAAAAATTGTTATATGTTTGTGTACAATAATGAATCTTCTTTAATTAATGTCTAAAAATCAATGTAGTCACTTGCAAAATGGTAGAGGACCTTTTTGTTCCGTTTGACTTAACATATAAAATATAAAACGGTGGACGGTGCCACTATACCTAATCTACCATATCGCGCAAAATTATTCACCACACTTTTTAATTAAAAACTCGAGATTTATTACGAATATTATGAAATGTTATAGTACATTTATGTTCATCTCAGCCTGTTTTCTGTTCTCACAAACGTTGCGAAGGTGAATCTAGAACATCCTGTATGATATATAAATGTGTGTCGTATGGTGTATAAACTGTGTGATGTATAAATGCGTGCACTAAATTCTTCACACCTACACACATACAAATAAATTTATTATTTGATTCAAGAAGAAAATTGTGGCATTCAATTTTCTTATTTCGCTAAAAAGATTCGGTAATCTTTTTCAAATTATCTTAAGGAACTTGACATTTCATTTGTTGTGCCACTGATGATCTACTTTTGTTAGTAGAGGTCATTGTCTGCGTCCCTTTTATCGCATGATATTCTATACAAATATTCCATCATTCGATGGCCATACTTTTTACTGACTACAGTCTCGTAATTTAACTTCAAAGATCATATGCAAATTAGTGTTGCCAAGTAGCTCTGACTAGTTGGCAAATGCATTGAAAACAAATACTTGAAAACATATTTGTGGGATAAAAAAATTTATTTATGCGAAGTAAAGTTTATTTCTATACATTTATTATTCACAATATACTTTACCTCCCACAAATAAATATTAAATATATTTTCTTTTAGTGTGACTAGTAGCATTATACTTATGACACATCTTTACAATGTATCCAGAGAGCTATTTTATGCTAATCGTGGCAAATAATTCAACAATAGGCGATACATAACGGATATAATTATAGATTCAAATATACACTTTGTTTCAACACAGTATACACTATTTTTTTTATACATGTTTGAACATAACCGATCTACACAATAAAAGAACTTTTTTTGAAGTGATTACATTAAATTAAATGTTATTGTTTATTAGATCATTAGCTGTTTCTAGGAATGCATCGGAAAAGTGATTAAAGCGTATTGAAACAAAGTGTACTCATGCCATACTTTTACAAAAACAGGAGAGAGAGAAACATAATATAAATTTCCTAATGAATGTATATTATTAAAAAATCCATCTTTTATTAGCGACTATGCTTACACTTGTATTCAATTTACAATAACCGGTGATAACTCGTAAGAGACTTATAGTTTCAGATACTTTTATACTTCTTGATAAATTTTGATACTTTATATTATTTAAATAAAAGTCGAAGTAACGAACTACAGATGTTTTTTACGAGTTACAATATGAAGAACATAAAAATATAATCCATATAAAATATATCGCAATTATTTCTATCACCTATTTTACCAACAGAATATGGACGATGAATAAAGGAGACTTACAATACAATTACACATAGGTGAATATATAATTGTGGAATATAATATCTATAACTACGAAATAGTCTGCGAATAGTACATGAATTGTAACATTTTAAGATATTATATGCAATCATTTTATTGCCTCACATATATATGTTTCACATATTTCAAGAAAGTAAGAAACATAATATTATAAATTTTCGACTGAATATATACCTCAGTACGAAATTTATTATTTATTCCCGAATATAATTAAAAATTGACCAGAGCATCTAGAATACTATACTATACTAAAATAAAAACAACGATCAAACAATTCTTGATCTTCAGCTTTTGATTGGATCGGATATGTAATTTAAATTCATGAATATATAATCAAATATGCATGTCGAAAATAGAACTCCTCAGGTATATGGCATCTGTTTGGCTTCAAGCTGCGAAATTTATTTTTTCCATATAAACAATTTCTGGTTGTACCTGTTACTACTTGTATCCTATTGACATTTTCATGCATTCTAGTTATGTCATTAACGGTTACAAGTAACGGACACATTTGTGCTATTATTGTTGTTATAGATTCAAACCATGTTCGAATCGAATACATATCTGTGTCAAATATTACGATCACGTTTGGTTGTATATATGACTTTAAGAGCGTATAATTGTGGTACGGCTCTGATACATTTTCAACATAAAGTTTCTGTTTATATTTACTGCACCTTGGACAAACAGACCCTAGTTCGCGCGATTTGAATTTAGGGCGCGATTTTATAAATACAATATATAGTTCTTTTATATTAGATAAGAGGTGTAGGAAAATATGCCAAACCTTTAAGCACCTTACATCTGTTTCATTTGCATCTATAACATGAACAATATATTTACCTGCATTGCATGGAAGAGATAATAAGTTTGATGCCTGTAACGCGTAGTGTAATGTCAAAGGACCGGTTACATAATCCGAACATATGTAATGTTCTAATGACCAGGATAATCGGTCAAACAAGCTTCTTCTTTTACTTTTATCTACATCCTGTCTAACTAAATATCTGTTAATAAATGAAATCATGTTATAATAAGGTCTAGCATCAGGAAATGTGGTGAACGTAAGTTTGCTTAGACATAATTGTAAAATATTGCTATTTATACAGGCGATATTAATGTTCAGTGATATTAATAGCTGTTCACATTTATTGTTATGTTCTAAATTAAATAGCATTTGGTGATCATCACAAAAATTAGCTGAAAAGCAAATGACGCATGGCTTTAGGTTTATTTGTCGATGGCACTTATAACACGATTTTGCACATAATATCATATCCTTTTCGTGCACATGTAATGGCAGATATAATTTTCTTATAATTTCGATCCGTGATTCTGTCCATTCTTTCGAATTGAAACATGCGTTTTGATCCAATTTACTTGTTATTTGCCTTACAAGAGTTCCGCAAATATACAAGTGCGGATATTTATGTAACATCTGGTGCTCCTCGCAACAGTAGGAAATCATATAGCACTTAGTACACGTTATTAAGTTTCTGCTGGGCAATTTGCAAACATGACAAATGTTTGGATTGAAAAATCGATTATAATTCTTTTCTGTGTATGGTCCATTAAAAGTTATTATTTCGCCAACACTCATCGCGATATGTCTTAGTAATTAACGTTTATGAGTATTTCATTTGTAATATTTACTTCGATATAATGCGCGAAGCTCGGCTACTCACTGAATATAACAGAAATATGTATGCGTGTTATATATAGATGTTTAGCGGATAATAATACAAGGGACACTAATAACTGATACAAGAATGTTTGGACGTATCGAAAACGTTGTTGACAAGATAAATTGCGAATATAACCGAGTAGACGTATTCGTTAGTGGACAGAAACAATATGGCAAATATAATGCATACAATAAAATTGCTTTAATTTCATTAGAAAAACAGTAAAATAGCTATTACTTGTATAACACATACATTTTGGAAATAATATTAGAAATGTTGTTAAGAAACATTACACATTAGAAAATTTGTTACTTGTTTGCAGAAATATCTTTGTTTGAAAAACAATGGAATAACGATTCTCTAATGAATATATGGAGATAAATACGCGACTATCAATATTTATGTAAAAATTTTTATATAATTAAATAATAACTACAAAAAGAACATATATATTAAGAGTTGAGGCGGCTTTACACTTGTTAACACATATAAAATTTTTCAACCATAAAAGAAAATATCCAAACAGCGCAAATATCTAAAACACATTTTAGAGACATTATAAAGACGTCTGCAACAAATAAAGTATCGTTCAGACGTCTCTAAGATGTCTTTCAGACATATATAATATATAGATAGAATTTACAACTTTAGCTGCAACTAACTTACCATATAATTGTTGTGATGCATATTAAAAATAATATTATTAATATTATAATATTAATAATATTAGAAATATAATATAATATATTATATTAATATAATACTTTCTCTCCCACAAATAAATAATGAAATATATTTTTTCTCAGTGTGACTAGTTGTAGCATTTTGCTCATAATGTATCCTTATAATATGATCAGAAAGCTGTTTTATGCTATACTTATTGTTAATCCTGGAAACTAATGCAACAGTGGCGATATATAATGGGTAATACTATAGAACTATATTTATACTTTGTTTCAACAAAGTATAACAGATTTTTCTCCGATACATTTTACTCGATAGCCAACACAATGAAAAAACTGATTAAATGATTGTATGAAATTAAGTTCTATCATTCATTAGATCATTGCTTATATTCAGGAATACATTGGAAAAGTGCTCAAAATGTATTGAAACAAAGTGTAAATATGCTACACTTTTACAACAACAGGAGAAAGTATCGTAATATATATTTACTAATCAATCTATACTATTAAAAAATCCACATTTTATTGGCAACTACAATTACACATGTATTCATTTTACATTAATCGGTGATAATTTTTAAGAGACAAATAGTTTTAGATACTTTTATATTTTTGGATAAATTTTCCTAATTTAAATTGTAAAAGTCGATGTAACGAGTTACAGATATTGGTTATAAGCTACAATATGAAGAATATAAAAATATAATCTATATAAAATCTATCGCAATTATATCTATCATCGATCACCTGCAGAACACGGACAATGAAGAAACGCCTTACAAAACAATACATACCTTACATACAGTTGAATACAGAATTGTGGAATATAGTATCTATAACTACTGAATAGTATGCGAATAGTATGCGAAATATAAAATTTAAATACGATGTGCAATAATTCTATTACCTTTCTCACATAAATATGCGTTACATATTTCAGGAATATAAGAAACAAAATACTATTAATTTACGAATGAATGTATACCACAATAAGAGATATATTATTTTTCTCTGAATATCGTTAAAAATTAACAGGGGTATCTACAATATTATATCATATTAAAATAAAAGCAATTATCAAACAACTCCTGATCTTCAGCATTTGATTGGGTCGGTTATATGATTTAATTTCATGAATAAATAATGAAATACGCATTTCGATAACACAATCCACTAGTCACATGGCTTCTATATAGTCTACAACCGCAGAATTTATTTTTTCTGTACCTCCGATTTCTTGTTGTACCTGTTACTTCTTGTATATTTTGTGTATTAAAATCCATTATAATTTCATCATTAAAGATTAAAAATAATAGACAATTTGTACTACTATTATTGTTACAGTTTCAAATCATGTTCTTATCAAACACAAATTTGTGTCAGGTATTATAATCATATTTGGTTGTTTATATGACATTAAGCGCGCATAATTGTGATATGGCTCTGATATATTTTCAACATAAGCTTTTTGATTATATTTTTCGCACCTAGGAGTCTCTAGATCGTGGGATTCGAATGATGAAGTGGCGATTTTATAATTACAATATATAGTTCCTTTATATAAGGAAAAAAATGTAGGAAAATATACCAAACTTGTAAACATATTATGTCCATTAGATTTGTATTTATAATATAAATGATAAATTTATATGCAAGATGTGGAAGAAATAATACATTTTATTCCTGTAACGCGTAGTGTAATGTCAGAGGACCAATTATATAATCCGAAAATATATAATGTTCTAATGACCAGAAAGTTCAAATAGACAAGTAAAGTTTTTTTCATTATTACCTAAATCTTCCATGACAAAATATCTGTTAATAAATGTAATCATGTTATGGTAAGGTCTAGCATCAGTAAATGTGGTGAACGTGAATTTATCTAGACATAATTACAAAATATTGATATTCATAAAGGTGATAGTAATGTTCAGTAATAGTAACAGCTCTTTGGAATGATCCTTATGTTCTAGATTAAATAGCATTTGGTGATAATCACAAAAATTAGCTGCATAGCAAATGACGAAGGGTTTCATGTTCATCTGTCGGTGACACTTATAACACGATTTTGCGCATAATATCACATCTATTACGTGCGAACATATGCCTGACAGATTCCTATTTATTAAAACTTCCTTTCTCTCAATTCTTCCCAATTACGATATGTGTTCTAATCGGATTTGTTTGTTATGATATTTGCTAGGTCTCTGCAAAGTTCCAGGTGTGAGTCTTCATGTATCTCCTCATGCTTCTTGGAACAATAAGAAATCATATAGCATTGTTTACATATTATCAAATTTCTGCTGGGCAATTTATAAACATGACAAATGTTTGGATTGAAAAATTAATTATATTTGTATTCTATGGTTCATCAAAAGTAATTATTTCGCCTATGCTCGTCGCGATATGTCTTAGTAATAACAGTTTATGAGTATTTTATTTATAATATTTACTTCGATATAACGCGCGAAGCTCGGCAACTCACAGATTACAACAGAAATTTGTATGCGAGTTATATATAGAAGTATAGACAATAATAGTAAGACAATAATGTGATTATATATTTTGAAAATATGAGAAACAAAATACTGTTTACGCTTGAAAATATACCCCAGTAAAAAATTTCTTATATATTCTCGGATATTATTAAAAATTGAGTATCATCAACTATATCAAAATGAAGATAGAATCAAACAATATATTACCTTCAACCTTTGACTGGGTTGATCATGTGATTTAAATTGATTCATGAATACATAATAAAATGCGCATTTCGGTAATAACATTTTCCAGTTACATAGTTTCTATATGGCCTATATCCGCGGAATTTATTTTTTCTGTACAAGCATTTTCTAGTTTCACCTGTTATATCTTTTATCATATTTAAATTCTTTTGCGCTGTGCTTCTCGTATCAGCGGTTAAAAGTAACGGACACTTTTGGGCTATTATTGCTGTTATAGATCCAAGCCATGTTCCCATGGAAATAGTTTGAAGTACAATCACATTTGGTGGCTCATATGACTCTGAGCGTACATACGTGTAGTACGTTTCTGATACATTTTTAACATAAAGTTTCTGTCTATACATACGGCACGTTGAACAAACAGACCCTAGATCGCGCGATTCGAAAATTGGCGATTTTATAAGTACAATATATAATTCCTTTATTCTTCTAAAGAAATGTAAGAAAATATGCCAAGTTTGCAAAGATATTACATCTATTCTATTTGCGTCTATAAGATGAACAATGTATTTACATGCGTTGAGTGGAACAGATAATAAATTTGATTTCTTCAACGCGTAGTATAATGTCAGCGGACTGGATACAAAATCAGAATATATATATTGCTCTGTTGTCCAGTAAAGAATTGAATTCGGATTATCTAACATCTTACTACGATAAGATGAAACTTTGCTGAGTACGTAGCTATTAATAAATGTAATATTGTCATGAAAAGATCTCTGAATAGGAAACTTGCCGAACTTCCTTTTTTTTTGAAGCTTTTCCATATGGATAATATCGGCCATATTCATGTTCAGTAATAGCAACAGTTCACCGCAGTCCTTCTTATGTAATACACTAAATTCTGTTTGGTGCTCATCACAAAAATTGGCTGAATAGCAAATGTTGCAGGGACTTAGGTTTATCTGTCGGTAACACACACAACACGATTTTGCGCATAATATCATCTCCTTTTCGTACTGGTATATGCAACGTGATAGACTAGGCAGTATTTGTTCTAAAACGTCGTTTCGTGATTCTATCCATTCTTCCAAGCTACGATGCGTGTCCGAGAATGATTTGTCTGTTATTCTAATTGCCATAGCTATGCAGATCTCTGAGTGTGAGTTTCTATGTATGTCCTTGTGCTCCTCGGAACAGTAAGAAATCATTTTGCAGAAATTACACGTTATCAAGTCTCTGCTGGGACATTTGCAAACATGACAAACGTTTGGATTGAAAAACTGGTTGTATTTGTTTTCTGTGTATGGGTCATTAAAAATTAGTACTTCTCTGTTATTCATCGCTATAAATCTTATTAATTATCATTTATGAGTACTTTGTTCATAATATTTACTTCAAAATAATACGCGAAACTCGACAACTCACGAAATGTCATTGAAATATTTATATGGATTAGATATAGATATTTAAACAATAACAGTACAGGGAACAATAATAACGGATATAATATGTTTGTATCAAAAAACTTGTTGACAAGATGTAACTGCCGGCAATTGTAACTACCGATATGACGATCTAGGTCTTCGTTAGTGTAGGAAAACAATATAATACATTCCTTATGAAAACCTTGTCGAAAGACTGAAAATATACTACAAAGTTTATCAAGAAAGGTACTTTAATAAATTTGTGATAATTTCTAGCAAATCTTGTAGTATTTCAGTAAGGTAATGATCACTTTAAGTGAATTAAACACTTAAATAAAAATAATTTTTATGAAGCCATCAGTTTTCCATGTTCTGACAACGGTTCCTTAATATTCCTTAATGTTGATAATCGAGCGATAGACGGTGATCTTAATGGCTCTAACTATGTGTTCTTAGGACTAATATGATATATCGTTATAGTATTCATAGAATATTATATTTATTTTCGTAATCATTGAAATGATGGATAAACATTAAATGTGCGACAAATATTGGTATAATATATATTAATACACTAATGATTACCCGACTTTCTCAATTTTCAACAAAATATAATTATGATTAATTTGAACAAAGAACGATTAAAACAATTTACGCAATAATCAAAATTTTAAAAAGTTTTTGGGAAATCCTGTTTTAAATATTAATGTTTCATTATCGAACAATATGGATACTTTTCAACAAAAAAACAGAGCTTTTATTTAAAGAATTGATTAAGTTATATATGCATATATTATTTTATTAAAAGACACACACAAACCAAAGTCAGTTGAGGAGTATTAACCGCTATATAGTCGTATATATTTACATATAAATTATGAATAATTATATGTAATTATATTTAGTGAGGGATTATGTATAAAATTATACATAAGCAGCATTAGACAGCCTTATACAAAATTATGAATAAAAGCGTAAAATTATATATGATCATGTAGCTAATTATAGATTATTTTGTATGCTGCCACTTGATTTTATATAGTTATATAGTGTCCGAAACCTTTCTTGACACAATTATTAGAAAGTATTAAAAATTATTAGAAATTATTAGAAATTATTAGAAAGTAGAACGGATTAAACGGAACAGAGAAGTAAATATCATTTTGCGAAATTCGCAACAGTTTTCGAGTAATTCATTGTTTTGTGTGAGCAAATAAGCGCTTGGGCCGGCGCACGACCGTGATACACGCGAATTGCGGCTCGCTTCGTTCCTCCGCTTATAGCTACGAGAGCGTAACAATGAAAAATAGGGTGTTCCATTTAAAAGAATTAATTTAACCTTGATCTGATCTTGGTAATGTCAAAATCAAACGTATATTACCATTAAATGCAACCTTTTAAACCTTATAACTTTCGTCTAAAGTATTTTTTATCTAAAATACTTTATATATTATCTGTATCTGTATCTGTATCTGAAATATTAGCCTGGTGCGCTTAAAATGAAACACCCTATAGACAATATAAGTGCCGACACTAATTTGGCCTTTACCTTTTTCAAAACCTCTAATGCTTTCTCATTCAACTCAAAAGAAACATTTTTGCGCAACAAGTCATATAACACTTTAACTATTAACGAAAATTTCTCAATAATCTTTCGGAACACTCCGATAAATCCACGCACTTCTCTAACGTATTTTGGTACTTTGATAAATTGTACATTGCATCAATTTCTTCTTTAGTTGAACTTATACCGTTTTCGGAAATAACATAAGTATAACAACTTAGTGTATAAAAACTTACACTTATCGATTCTTAAAACTAAAATATTATTAATTAATAACCTAAATATTTTTGCAACATTTGGATATGATATTTAATTGTGGAATTTGCAACCATAAAATCGTCTATGTATATTACAACATCTCATAATATTCGGAACTCGAGATCACTAATTGTTCCGCATACGGAAGGTACATACAAATTTCTAAAATTTTCTTGAATTATCGCAAAACCTCTTGTTTCATAAAATTTTGCACACACATGGAGCGCGGCTTCCCAAGCTTTATTCTTCTCCGACGATTTCGCTCCTTTGTGACGAGAGGCCTGAAGGCTGCCACGTCACAGAATCCTGGAAACGCGAACGCAGCATATACATCGAGCAAGTAATAAATTAAGGGGTGGCCGATTTCTTCACCAAACGCGGAATTATTTTCATAAGATACTTGCCGCTCGGTTTGGCAAGAAAGACTCATGGAACTTCTAAGAAGCGATATGAATTTTGGAATAGTATTGTTCCCGATGTTTTGAAATCGTATTCTCTAAAATACAGTTAATGTATTTTTCTTTGAAATACTATATTCGCAACTAATGATTCTCAGATAGAAATTAATTGGGGAGGACTTTAGAACTTGTTGCACAAATTTATTTGTACTCCAAAGTTTCTTCAAAAATTTTATTCATTCTACATACACAAATATTAAGATGAAGTTATCGAAAAATGAATTATATTATGTTTTATGAGATACTTCACATTTTGTAATAAAGGGTTTCGCAATATAACACAGAATATCTCGAAAAGTTTATTTTCAGGACAAGCGTTTTTGTTCCAATTCCTGATATAAACGGATTGATTAGAGTTTGTAGCAATTCGCACTTTCAACCGGTTCCAATCTATTTCAAATGACTCATAATAAATCGTGCCCTTGATATTCCAAATGCAGAACAGAACCTTCTTTTGTTTACGATTTGCGACCAGATCAGATGCTTGATAACCAGAATTTATCCCTGATTTTTGCGGTTTAAGATTATAGAGTATCAATTTTTTATCATTTATAACGACGTCCCATAAAAAAGATTTTCTACGTTGCTTATTCGTTGTTTATTGAGAAAAGAAGAGCTGTCATTCGTAGATTTTTATCGCATCAATGAGTTCTCGTGGAACACACTTTTTTCTTTCTGGATTATTTTCATTTGGAAATAGTTTGTTACGTTACTCCCAACTGCATTTTTCGCGTTTCTGTCAAATTTGCAGCTAGCAATTGCTGTAAATCATAATTGTCACATTTCTGAGGGCCTCGAGGACGTTGTTTATTAAACAAACTGAAATAATTGTTTTTAAACCAAAATTTGCATACCATGCGCAATACAATACTTTTGTTGTGAAATAAACAAATTTGCGCGCTTTTGTAGTATTTTTTCTTTGTTAAAAATCGTAAAAATTACAATATCGGTTATACAACTTATGCGTTGCCATTTTCGTGCTACTGAACAAAAATTTTTAAGTTAGTTTATGTAAGGCATTTTGCCAAACGAAATGTTATTTTGAATAGTTATATATTAAAACTACAGAACGGAACTACAAAAAGGAACGAAAAATTAATTAATTTTAAAATTATATTTTAACTACGCCCAAGAGTATCTGGATTATTTATTTAAACATCTATATTATCATTCATATATCTTACTTTAATATAATTTTAACTTCTTTTCTAAGATGTATTTTAGAACATAGATAATTATCTAATACAAAAATTTATTGTTGAAATTTTCACTAATTCTTAGAATTTAAATACTCTCATTTGATCATTGGCTATATTCAGAAACACATTGGCTCACAATACTCCAAACGTATTGAAACAAAAGTATACATATGCTACACTTTTACAAAAACAGGAGAAAGAAATATAATATATATTTACTAATAAATATGTATTATTAAAAAATCTATATTTCATTGGCGAATATAAGTAAACATTTGTATTTAATTTACAATAATAGATAAAAATTCGAAAGGCACTAATAGATCCAGGTTTTTGTTTGTATACATTTTAATATATTTTGACAATTTAAAATGTAAAGAATCGTAATAGATGCAGTCAGTTACGAGTATTGATTACAAGGTACAGCATAAATAATATAAGGTATAAAATGTTTTACAATTCTATATAAAATGTTGTAGAATTATTCTTATCATCTATCACTTACAGAACACGGAAGTTGAAGAAGGTATTTACAAAACAATTATACATAACTCAAAATGAACTGCATGTAATATCTATAACTATGGCATGGCATGCGTCAAATTATAAAACTGTAAGATACTATGTATGCGGCAATAATTTTATTACATGATATATTACATATTTTATATATTTTGAAAAGATAAGAAACAAAATATACCCCAGTATTCACACCTGAAAATATACCCCAGTAAAAAATTTCTTATATATTCTCGAATATTATTAAAAATTGAGTATCCTCAACTATATCAAAATGAAAAATAGGATTAAACAACATATTACCTTCAACCTTTGACTAGGTCGATCATGTGATTTAAAACGGTGAATACATAATAAAGTACGCATTTCGGTAATAATATCTTCCAGTCGTACAGTTTCTATATGGTCTACAGCCGCAGAATTTATTTTTTCTACACAAGCGTTTTCTATTTACGCCTGTTATTTTTTCTATCCAATTTCCATTCTCTTGCGCTGTCATTTCCGTGTCAGCGGTTAAAAGTAACGGACACTGTTGCTCTATTATTGTTGATATAGAGTCAAACCATGTTCCCATGGAAATAGTTTGTGTTTCAAGTAGTACAATCACATCTGGTGTCTCATATGACTCAGAGCGTTTATACTCGTAGTACGTTTCTGACACATTTTTAATATAAAGTCTCTGATTATATTTACGGCATGTTGAACAAACAAAACCTAGATCGCATGATTCGAATATTGGCGATTTTATAAATACAATGTGCAGTTCCTTTATTTTTTTAAAGATATGTAAGAAAATATGCCAAATTTGCAAAGATATTACATCTATTTTATTTGCATCTATAACATGAACAATGTATTTAGATGCTTTGAGTGGAATAAATAATAATTTTGATTCCTTCAACGCGTAGTATAATGTCAGCGGACCGGATACATACTCAGAATATATATATTGCTCTGTTGTCCAGTAAAGAATTGAATTCAGATTACTTAATATTATTTTACGAATAAGTGAATCTTTGCTGACTAAATAGTTATTAATAAATGTAATGTTGTCAAAAAAATATTTTTCTCTAGGAAATCTGGTGAACTTATTTTCTTTTCCATATAGAATTTCTTCAAAGTTGAAAATAATATCGGCTATATTCATGTTCAGTAATAGCAAAAGCTCACCGCAGTTCTCCTTATGTAATACATTAAATTCTGTTTGGTGATCATCACAAAAGTTGGCTGAATAGCAAAAATTGCAGGGATTTATATTTATCTGTCGGTAACACACGCAACACGATTTTGCGCATATTATCATCTCCTTTTCGTATTGGTGTATGCAACGTGATAGACTAGGCAGTATTCGTTCTAAAACATCGTTTCGTGATTCTATCCATTCTTCTAAGCTACGATGCGTGTCCGAGAACGATTTGTCTGTTATTTCCTTTGCCATAGCTATGCAGATCTCTGAGTGTGAGTTTCTATGTATTTCCTTATGCTCCTCGGAACAGTAAGAAATCATTTTGCAGAGATTACACGTTATCAAGTCTCTGCTGGGACATTTGCAAACATGACAAATGTTTGGATTGAAAAACTGATTATATTTGTCTTCTATGTATGGTCCACAAAAAGTTCTTACTTTTCCGTTATTCATCGCTATAAGTCTTATTAATTATCATTTATGAGTATTATGTTTATAATATTTACTTTAAAATAATGCGCGAAACTGAACAACTCATAGAGTGTTATGGAAATATTTATATGATTTAGATATAGTTATTTAAGCAATAACAGTACACAGAACAATAATAATGGATACAATATGTTTATATCGAAAAAGTTGTTGACAAGATAAATTGTAACTACCGATATGACGAACTAGAGATATTTGAGAAATAATATGATACATTTGTTATGAAAATCTTATTTAAAGACTGAACATATACAGCGAAATTTACCAAGAAAAATACTTTAGTAAATTTTTGCTAATTTCCAGCAAAACTTGTAGTATTTTTTTAATGTATTGTAATGATCACTTCAAGTGAATTAATCCGTTAAATAAAAAATTTTTTTTATCTAAAGACAGATTAATTTTTGCATGTTCTGACAACGGTAAGCGTTCTTTAACGTTGATAATCGAGCGACAAGTTTAGGACTTATGTAATTGTTATAGTATTCACAGAATATTATAATATATTTACACAAAGACATTAAAATGATGGATCAAATATGCAACATTATATGCGACAAATATTAATATAATAAACTATTACACTAGTGATTACACTACTGTTTCTCAATTTTCAACGAAATATTGTTATGATTAATTTGAACAGCAAACAGTTTAGAAAAATTTACTCAATAATCAAAACTTTAAAAAGATTTTAGGAAACCCTGTTTTAAATATTAATGCTTCATTATTGAACAACATGAATATTTTTCAACGATATAACAGAGTTTGTATTTAAACAAATGATTAAGTTATATATAAATATATTATTTTAAAGACACTCACAGTAAATATATTATTGGAAAGACACACACAAACCAAAATCAGTTAAGGAATATTAACTGTTATATAGTCGTGTATATATTTACATATAAATTATATATATTTATATATAATTATATTTAATGAGGGATTATATTTATATATATATATATATATATATATATATATATATATACATATATTATACATAAGCATAATTACACATAAGCAGGATTAGACAGCCTCATACAAAATTATGAATAAAGTCGTGTAAAATTTTATATAATTATGTTACTAGTTATTCATAATTTTGTATGCTGTCATTTGATTTTATATATGGTTATATATAATTGTATACAAAAAAATTGTTACGTGCTAAAATTTTGACTTGAACATTAACGATATGTTAAAAGCGGACATTGTACGTCGTAATACGGATGTTCTCATCATTCGGTAATCAACCATTCTTTTAAATGACTACAGTCCAGATTATTTAACTGCGATAATCATGTATAAATTAGTCATGCCAATTAGCTTTGACTGTTTGACAGAGACACTGAGAACAAATACTTTAAAGTATATTTATGGGATATAAAGTTTATTTCTGTGATATAATGTTTATTTCTATACACTTATATTTCACAATACACTTTCTCTCCTACAAATAAATATTGAAATACACTTTTTCTCAGTGTAACTAGTTGAAGCATTAGGCTCATAATTCATCCTTATAATATGCCTAGAGAAATGTTTTATACTATACTTACTGCTAATCGTGAAATCTAAAGCAAAAGTGGGCGATATAACGGATAATATTATAGAATCATATATACACTTTGTTTCAACATAATATAAACTATTTTTCTCCAATATATTTTACTCGATAGCCAACACAACGAAAGAACTGATTTTTAAATGATTGCATGAAGCCCCATCTTCTCATTAAGTTCTATCACTTATTAGATCATTAGCTATATTCAAGAATGCATCGGAAAAGTGCTCAAAACTGAAACAAAGTTTACATATGCTATACTTTTACAAAAACAGGAGAGAGAATCGTAAGATACATTTAATAATAATTGTATATTACTAAAATCCATATTTTGTTAACAACTATGATTACATTTTTAATTGGTACAATAATCGGTGATAACCTTTAAGACAAATTTTCATAATTTAACTTGTACAAGCCAATGTAACGAGATACAGATATTAATTAAAAGCTACAATATGAAGAATATAAAAATATAATCTGCATAAAATATATCGCAATTATTTCTATCACCTATCACCTGCAAAACACGGACGATGAAGAAGGGACTTACAAAACAATTACATACTGAGTACAGAATTGTTGAATATAGTACCTCTAAAGTAAATACTGAATAGTATGCGAATAGTATGCAAAATATAAAATTTAAAATATGATATGCAATCATTCTATTACCTTACGTAAATATGTTTTACATATTTCAGAAATGTAAGAGACAAAATCCTATTAATTTACGACTGAATATATACCTCAGTAAGAGATGTATTATTTACCTTTTAATATCGTTAAAAATTTACAGGAGCATCATACTAAAATATCATACTATACTAAATCAAAGAAATGATCAAACAATTTCTGATTTTCAGCCTTTGATTGGGTCGGTTATGTGATTTAAATTCATGAATAAATAATGAAATACGCTTTTCGCTAGTCACATGGCTTCTATATGGCCTACAACCGCAGAATTTATTTTTTCTGCACAATCGATTTCTTGTTGTCTATTACTTTTTGTACTTTCTTGTATTGCAATCTATTGTGTTTCATCATTAAAGATTAAAAGTACTGGACATTCTTTTACTACTATTGTTGTTATAGATTCAAACCATGTTCTTATCAAGCACATATTTGTGTCAAATATTACGATCACATTTGGTTATTTATATGACTTTAAGTGCGCAATAATTGTGCTGCGGCTCTGATACATTTTCAACATAAACTTTCTGATTATATTTTCCGCAACTAGGAGAAGCAGTCTCTAAATCGCGGGATTCGAATAGTGGCGATTTTATAATTATAATATACAGTTCCTTTATATAACGAAAAAGATGTAAGAAAATATGACAAATTTGTAAACATATTACATCTATTAGATTTGTATCTATAATATGAACGATAAATTTATAAGCAGCATGTGAAAGAAATAATAAATTTAATTCCTGTAACGCGTAGTGTAATGTCAGAGGACCGGTTACATATGCTGAGAAAAAAATTTACTAAATTTAAAAAAATGAGTGTTTGAATAGATATGTGTGTGAAGATATTTGTTTAAATTAAGTAATTATTTTCTAAAATTAAATAAAGAAGTTTTAAATATAAGTTTGTTTCTTTAATTTTAGAAAATAATTATTTAATTTAAACAAATATCTTCACAGTACTATTTAAACAAATGTTTTTTGAAATTTAGTAAATTTTTTTCTAAGCGTAATCCGAACATATGTAATGTTCTAATGACCAGACAGTACAGATAGGGAAGTAAACTTTTTTTTATTGTTATCTAGATCTTCCATGACTAAATATCTGTTAATATATATAATCATGTCATGATAAGATCTAGCATCAGGAAATGTGGTGAACGTTTGTTTAGACACAATTGCTACTCGTACAGACGATATTAATGTTCAGTAATAGTAACGTTGCAGTGATCCTTATGTTCTAGAGTACTTAGCATTTGCTGATCATCACAACAATTAGCTGAAAAATAAATGACGCAGGGCTCTATGTTTATTTGTCGATGACACTTATAACACGATTTTGCGCATAATATCACATCTATTACGTACTGATGTATGCCTGATAGATTTATATTCATTAAAATTTCCTTCCGTGCTTCTCTCAATTCTTCCCAATTACGATATGTGTTCTAATCGGATTTGTCTGTTATGATCCTTGTTAGGTCTCTGCAGAGTTCCAGATGTGAGTCTTCATGTATCTTCTCATGCTTCTTGGAACAATAAGAACTCACATAGATTGTTGATTACATGTTATTAAATTTCTGCTGGGCAGTTTGCAAACATGACAAATGTTTGGATTGAAAAATTAATTATATTTGTCTTCTATGGTCCATCAAAACCCAATGAAAAATTTTTCACATATAATTATATAAAATTATATAAAATTATATAAAATTATATATAATTATATATTATTATGTATCAAATTTGTCCATTCATGTTCATACATTCTACTTATATATATAATTATATATAATTATATATAATTATGTATAATTATATATATACATTCATATATAATTTTACATAATTACGCATAAATTTATATGTTATTATACATATTGTTATACATAATTGTGTATAATTATATATAATTTTATATGATTATATATAATTATACATAATTATGTATGGACAAATTTCATATAAAATTTTGCATGAAAAATTTTTCATCGGGAAGTAGTTATTTCGCTTATGCTCGTCGCGATATGTCTTAGTAATGACCTTTCATGAATATGATATTTGTAATATTTACTTCGATATAACGCGCGAAGCTCGGCAACTCACAGAATATAACACAAACTTATATGCGAGCTATATGTAGATGTTTAGACAATAATAGTGAGACAATAATACTATTATACATTTTGAAAAGATAAGAAACAAAATACTGTTTACGCTTGAAAATATATCCCAGTAAAAAATTTCTTATATATTCTCGAATATTATAAAAAATTGAGTATCATAAACTATATCAAAATAAAGGTTAGATCAAACAATACCTTACCTTTAACCTTTACCTGGATCAGTCATGTGATTTAAATTCATGAATACATAATAAAATGCGCATTTCGGTAATAACATCTTCCAGCTACATAATTTCTATATGGACTACATCCGCAGAATTTACTTTTTACAAGCGTTTCCTAGTTACATCTGTTACATCTTTTATCTTATTTATATTTTCTTTCACTACCTTTTCTGTGTCAGCGGTTAAAAGTAATGGACACTTTTGGGCTATTATTGCTGTTATAGATCCAAGCCATGTTCCCATCGAACTAGTTCATGTTTGAAGTACATAGCCATTAATAAATGTAATATTGTCAGGAAAATATCTCTCTGTAGGAAATCTGGCGAACTTCCTTCCTTTATGAATCAGAAATTCTTCCATGTCGCGGATAACATCAGTTATATTCATGTTCAGAAATAGCAACAGCTCACCGCAGTCCTCCTCATGTAATACTCTAAATTCTGTTTGGTGCTCATCACAAAAATTGGCTGAATAGCAAGTGTTGCAAGGACTTATGTTTATCTGTCGGTAACACACACAATACGATTTTGCACATAATACCATCTCCTTTTCATACTGGTATACGTAACGTGACGTACTAGGCAGTATTCGTTGTGAAATGTCGTCCCGTGATGCTATCCAATGTTCCAAGCTAGAATACGCAACCGACAACGATTTGTCTGTTATTATCCTTTCCATAGCTACGTATATCCCTGAGTATGAGTTTCTATATATTTCCTTATGTTCCTCGGAACAGTAAGAAATCATTTTGCAGAGATTACACGTTATCAAGTTTCTGCTAGAACGTTTGCAAACGTGACAAACGTTTGGATTGAAAAACTGGTTATATTTGTCTTCTGTGAATGGTCCACTAAAAGTTCTTACTTTTCAGTTATTCATCACTATAAATCTTATTAATTATCATTAAATAAATTTTGTTTGTAATATTTACTTCAAAGTAATGCGCGAAACTGGACAACTCACTTAGTGTCACGAAAATATTTATACGGCTTAGATAAAGATTTTTAAACAATAATAGTACATGGGACATTAATAACGGATATCATATGTTTATATCGAAAAAGTTGTTAACAAGGTAAATTGTAGATATCAATATGACAAACTAGACATATTCGTTAGTGTAGGGAAACAATATGATACTTTTTTTATGAAACTCTTGTTGAAAGACTGAAAATATACTACAAACCCTTATAGAAATATCATACTAAGAATCATTAATAATTACTTATTATCCTCAGTATTATTATACTCAGTATTTTTAATACTGAAAATAAGTAATTATCAATGATTCTTAGTATGATATTTCTATAAGGGAAGTTTAACAAGAAAGATATATATTAATAAATTTGTGGTAATTTTCAGCAAAAACTTGTAGTATTTTAGTACTATAATGATCATTTTAAGTAAACTAATCCGTTAAATAAAAAAATTTTTTTACCGAAACAATCAGTTTTCCATGTTCTGACAACGGTAAGGGTTCCGTTGGTAAGGATAACGTTGATAATCGAGCGACAGACGGTGATATAAATAACTCCATGTGTTCTTAGCACTATCTAAACTATGTGTTCTTAGGACTTGCATTATGTATCGTTATAATATATTATACGTTACAGAATATTATAATATATTTATTCGCAAACTTTGAAATGATGGATCAATATTAGGTATGCGACAAATGTTGATATAATAAATATTAGTGCACTAGTGATTACACCACTGCTTCTCAATTTTCAACGAAATATTATATATATATATGATTAATCTGAACAGGAAACGGTTTAAAACAACTTACTCAGTAACCAAAAAGGGTTTGGGATATTATTTTAAATATTAACTTGTTTTAATCTGTTTTAAATATTAACGCTTCATTATCGAACAACATGAATACTTTTCAACGATATAACAAAGATTTTATTTAAACAAGTGATTAAATTATATATAAATATATTATTTTAATAACAGACACACACAAACCAAAGTCAATTGAGGAATATTAACTGTTATATAATCGTATATATTTACATATAAATTAGGTATATGTATATATAATTATATTTAATAAGGGATTACATATGTGTAGTTATATGACAATATACAGGGTGTACAACGCGTTTTCCTCAGGGGATTGCTAGGGGGATGGACCGGCTAGTTTGTCATTACGATGCTACAGCGCGAACAGCGTTGGCTGCTCACCGCAGCGCGTGTGCTGATTGGCCAGTGGGCTGCCGCTCAGTAGAAATTTTTCGTTGTTAATATCTCAAAACTTTACGTGGTTGTTTAAAAAAAGATACCGATTTCATTACTCATCCCTAGTCTA